CTGTAAGCAGGAAACACTGAGCGCTAAGTACAATGCAAACAAGTAGGGGACCTAGTCTATGTAAGGGAAATGTTAAGGGTTAAAAATAAAACTTTAGTATAGAATTTCACTTTCTAAAGCTTAAAATGATATCTTTTCAAAATAAAAGCATAATCATAGACCAACTCCTTTTCCTCTTCTCTGACCTTGGATTAGCTAAAAGGATATTTCATTGAGTGTTTTAAATTCTATCTGCAAATAATGACTAAAGCAGTAATTGTCCTGAAGTTCTGTTAACTGAAGTTTGTGAAAAGAGCTCCTTTACAAGAGGGAGTGTCTTTATTCCTTGGTAATATGCTCATTTGAAATGGACATATGTCATACTGGTAGAAACAAATGCAATAAGGCCACAAATAAAAATAGAAATTTAAATGAGTATCAAGTGGTAAAGTTTTAGTGAATTTCTTTTGTCATGCAAACATTACTGAAGACATGAGTCTAGATGGAAAAGGGTATTACCAAGGAATGATGTCAAATCTTTTTAAATTTCCAAAAACAATTCATGTCTCTGAGAAATATCTTATGAGAAATAGAAATTACTAAGTTAGAGAAGAATCATCAGCAAAGTTTCACATTCACTATCAAACTGATGATGGGACTTTACTTAAATAAGCTCCTAAAAAGCTAAATAAAACATTCATTTTATTCTAATTAACTAGACAGTATCCCCATCTATAAGGGGAAAGAGGGACACAGACACTTTGCATTCCTGCTTGCAATTTCTTAATGGCACAAGGGAAATGGCTAAAACCACAGTGGAAATAGAAAATGCCTTTAATAGTTTCTATTATAAACTTTTCACCTCAAGGAGAAACTGGACAAAGCAAATCAGATGCCCTGCCTTCTTCCTTGGTTTATGTTTGTTTCTTTCTCTAACCTCCTCCTCTTGGTTCCTGGCTCTGTTATTTGTCCTAGTTTCCTGAACAGGAACTGAGTGAAATGTACATAGCATGGTTTATTTTCAATAGTTCTTTAGTTCTAGCTAAGTTATGTTACAGAAGTAGTCAGGAAGAGATGGTTGGGTGAGAGGGTTGTCTACTATAGGGAAAGGGAAAAGACCACGTTTAGCTTTTTTTATTATTATTATTTCAGCATATTATGGGGGTACAAATTTTAAGGTTACGTATATTGCCCAGGCCCCCCCTCCCTCCTCAAGTCAGAGCTTCAAGCGTGACCATCCCCCAGACAGTGCACATCACACTCATTATGTATGTATATACCCATCCCCTCCTCCCCCCTCCCACCTGCCCAACACCCAATAAATGTAGTTCCTATGTGTTCACTTAGGTGCTGATCTGTTAATACCAATTTTCTGGTGAGTATATGTGGTGCTTGTTTTTACATTTGGCTTTTAATTTTTGTCGTTTAGTTCTCCAAATACAATTTCATCACTTAACCATTATAATCTAGTTAGATAATCAATATTATGCCATATAGAGTAGATTTAAAATATTATACATGGTTATGTGTCTGTCATTGGAAAAATATGTAATTCTTTTTACTTCTGGACTAATGTATTTGTTGTTGATATCCCATGATTTCACATTTTATGGTCTATTTATTGTTTATACTGTATTGTTTCTCCAATACAATGTGCACATTCTTGAATTTATACTGTCATAGTTCACCCTTCCTGAAATGCCCTTTTTCTTCTTCTCCAGAGACCCGCATCCTTCTCACTCTTCAAACCCAGCTCACCTTTTTCTTATATTGTGAAATCTTGCTTAATATGCAGCTTATAGTGGTATCTTCCTTCTTTTCACTCATACATAACCCATAAGTGAGTTGAGCAATCTGTTTCTAGTTATCTTGTGTGTGTGTGTGTGTGTGTTTATTGTCTTTCCAACTAGATGCTAAAAAGATTATTAGAAGCAGGGATTGTTTGCTATATATCTTTGTATCCTTGGCACTTTGCCTAATGTTGAGCAGCTTTTAGGTTACTTATAATTTATCAGGACTCTTGGTTGCAAGTTAAAGAAACCCAATTCACATACTAACTCAAGTCATAAAGAAAGTCCAGGGATGGGTCTATCTGAATATTTAGGCATGGCTAGATAAGATTCCCAAAGTTGTCACTAGGAATCTGTTCTTTTATTGTTTCTGCTTTATGTTGTCTTAGCTTTGTTTTCAGCTTTGTTTCCTAAATTGCACCTTTGGGGAGTAGAGGAATAGTAGATTTAGAAAGTCCTGTGGCTGATGCTCATTGGCTTTCCTGACTGTCTTGCACTATGTGCTTAACCCAGACCAATCATCATTGTCAGAGCGAGGTGGTTGGGTTGTTGGCTGGGCCCGAGTTACATGGTGGTATCTTGAACCAGGGAGTGAAATCAGTTGCCCTCTTTCTCCACGAACATATGCACTGAGACTTGAAGGGAGGTGACTCACCAAAAGGAAAAGTAAGCTTCTGTGCCAGCAGAATGGGAAATGGATGCCGGACAGGCAAAATTGAGATGCCCACTCGGGAGTTCGATAAATGTTTGCTGATTAATCAACTAAACATACTAAACATCTTTGTAGGAAAGAAGCCAGGTTTGTAGATATTCTGTACCATGTTTCACCTTCATCCACAATGTTTTATGCTTAGGATAGGGCCACGTGTCCTTCTCAGTGCCTCACAGTCACTGCTGAAGGTGGACTTGAGGGTCACGTGACCTACGACCTTGGCTCCCCACTGCTCTATCGCCGGGGTTGGAAGGCTGTTACGCTCTCAAGGGTGGACTAATAACCATGCTTACCTGTTTGAACCTTTAAATGGGATCTCAAAGTTCTTTCGTGGAAGAGTGAACAGAACAGTAATCAAATCTCTCATTGTGTGCTGTGACGATGTTGGCCAAATGCTTTCACAGTAAAACTAGGTAGCATTGTCAACCGATTACACTACTAGCTGTGTGACTCCGTTTTGGATTCTCTCTCTGAGAGTTGTGTTGAATTCAGAAGTTGGTTACAAAGCATACAGATGGTAAGCTTTCGTGGTTGCCATTATCCCAAACATAAGTGGCTAGGGTGTGTACACTACACTGGCTAACAGGGTTCTAACTGCCTGTTTTGTGCACTGAGAAGTAAGATCAGAGATACTTGAAGTATAAAACTTAAGTCATGTATTGGGAACCTTGCCTGAGGCTCAGCCAGTGAAGATCTTAATGAACATGTGGACAATGGACAAAGAATGTTAGGAAGATGGATTTCCATGGGAAATGGCTTCTGGGCAGGCAAAACCCAGATGTCCATTGTGAAGTTCAGTAAATATTTGCTGATTGATCAATTGAATACCCCTGTAGGACAGAAGTCAGGTTCATGCAGATTCTGTTCCATTTTTCATCTTCATCCCAAATACTTTATGGTTAGACTCTATAAGAATATGTTTGTATAAAAGCACATGTAATCTTTTTATTTTATTTTTATTTTTTTATTTCAGAATATTACACAGGCACAAACATTTTGGTTACATGAATTACTTTTGCACAGCTTGAGTCAAAGTTATAAGTGGGTCCATCACCCAGATAGTGTGCATTGTACCTGTTAGATGTGAATTTACCTGTCCCCTCTCCCCCCTCCCAACTGCTTGATTTCCATTGAATTTTACTACCATATGTATACATGAGTGTTGATCATTTAGTTCCAATTTAATAGTGAGTACATGTGGTGTTTGTTTTTCCATTCTTCGGATACTTCACTTAGGAGGATGGTCTCCATTTCCATCCAGGTTGTTACAAAAGGTATTAGTTCACCTTTTCTATGGCTGAGTAGTACTCCATGGTATATATATGCCATATTTTATCAATCCATTAATCCATTTTATTAATCATGTACTGATGGGCACTTAGGTTGTTTCCACATCTTTGCAATTGTGAGTTGTCCTGCTATACACAATGGAGTGCAGGTGTCTTTTTTATACAATGTCTTTTTTTCCTTTGAGTGAATACCCAGTAGTGGAATTGCTGGATCAAATGGTAGGCCTACTTTTAGTTCTTTCAGGTATCTCCATACTTACTACTTTCCATAGAGGTTGAATTAGTTTGCAGTCTCATCAACAATGTATAAGTATTCTTTTCTCTCCACATCCACACCAACATCTGTTGCTTTGGTTTGGGGACTTTTTGATAAAAAACATTCTCACTGGAGTTAGGTGATATCTCATTGTGGTTTTGAATTGCATTTCCCTGATGATTAGAGATGTTGAGCATTTTTTCATATGTTTTATTGGCCATTAGTCTACCTTTTGAAAAGCTTCTGTTCATGTCTTTTCCCCACTTTTTTTTTTCTTTTCTTTTTTCTTTTCTTTTTTTTTCTTCCCCACTTTTTAATGGAGTTGTTTGATGTTTTCTTGCTGATTCGCTTGAGTCCTTTGTAGATTCTGGTTATCGGCCCTTTATCGGATGTGTAGCATGCAAATATTTTCTCTTGTTCTGTAGATTGTCTGTTCCCTCTTTTGATTATTTTCTTGGCCGTGTAGAAAGCTTTTAATTTCATCAGGTCCCATCTATTTATTTTTATTGTTGCTGTAATTGCCTGTGGAGTCTTCTTAATAAATTCTTTGCCTAGGCCAATGTCTAGAGGAGTTTTCCGAGCCTCTTCTAGAATTCTTATGGCTTCATGCCTTAGGTTAAAGCCTGTTATCCATTGTGAGTTGATTTTTGTGAGTGGTGAGAGGTGCAGATCCTGTTTCAGTCTTGTACATGTGGTTATCTAATTTTCCCAGCATCATTTATTGAATAAGGATTCTTTTCCCAAGTGTGCATATAATCTACTATCATTTGAATTTTGTTTAGTGTTCAGCATACCTTTCTTAACTAGTTAAGTTTGTTTATTTGTGTGTGGGAAAAGAACAAATCAACCATAAATAGAATAGGGTGTTCTTTAGAAATCAGTGTTCTGAACCCTCTGAGAAAGCAAATATTTATTGTAATCAAAAATATTTATTAAGCACTGCCTTAATTTTATTTTTAATGCTTACTTTTTAGAACTGGAAGATAAGCAAAAATCTACATCTGGTACCTCTCCAAACATTCACCTGTTGTCACAAATGTTTTATTCATCGTGGCCGTAACCTCTTTGCAATTGGTCAGGCGTAGGACAGGTGAGATGCTCGTTGAGAACACCACTCGACTTGCCGGGTCAGCTCTGCACTCAGTCAGTCAGACCCTATTTATGACACCATACTGTGCTCGTTGTCTTTGTCCACACACTACTACTCAAAGGAAGAAAAATAATTCAATTATAAAGTTTCCAGTTGAAGCACTACAATCTGCCTTTAGCTCGTTTCGATTCTGGGTGTGCCATTTTTTCTTTGGTCTGAAAACATAATAAAACATGGAAAAATAAAGATCTTTGTGGCAAATGAGTGTTATTTTTTCCTGTCATTTTATGACTATCACCTTCCTTTTCTAGATAAGTATTGGGAGACTTTGGGAAAAGTAAGTATTTATTTTATCAATGTTTTGCAGTTGAAAGAGAATCACTTTTTAGTGCTAGGTAGTTGTATTACATTTGTGTGATTTCATTTGAGCCACTAATATCTATTGACCTTCCTTCTACTTAAAAACGCTTAGAAACCTGGAAACTCAGGTTTGGTAACTCTTCACATCACTTTGTTACTGTTTTTAACATTTCAATTTTTTTTTTTTTAAAAAAACATTTTTCACAAGAGAAATGTACAGAAGCCATGGTAGTAGTGCTGAAATGAGAATTTGGCTCACTTTATTTGAGGGACAACAGAAAGTTAGGTTAAGAAGTTATGGAAATATATAGTATACTTATGGAAATATATAGCATAGACCAGTGGTTCTTGAAAGTGAGGTTCTTTCTGTTGAGCACAGCCTATGCCCACATCACTTGAGAACCTGTTAGAAATGGAAATTATCTGGTCTTACCACAGAACTACTGAACCAGAAACTCTGGGAGTGTGGCCCAGTGATCTCTATTTTAACAAATCCTCTAGGTGATTTTTTTTGCATACTTTCAAATCACAGGGTAGACACAGATGGGACTGCTATGTATTCATAAAAGCTAGAAATTTAATCATAATTTTATATTTAGACACCCCTAGAAATATATTTTTTCATGTAACTGCTCAGTGGTCCTTTTTGAGGAAAGCAGAATGGAGTCTCATTTACCATGTCACCCTCCTAGCTAGGCCTTTTGTGAGTTCAACTCAGGATATATTTCCTTATGCATCAGAGTTGCCTCTGGCATAACTGGGAAGCTGAATCAATGGAGCACAGCAAAGAGGCCCTCAACTCTGCAGAACAAGGTTCAGGCCCCCCCTGAGACAGCAATGAAGCCTCAAGGTAACTTTCTAAAGGCTCCATTAACCAAGAATGCATTTTAAACAAAAATAAAACAAAAAAAAAAACAACCCAAAGTACAAATGAAAGACACAGGAGCTCATTAAAAATGAGTTACAGGAATAAACTACACGTAGCCTTATTGAGGGAAAACTACCACTCAGAAAGTTGATTTTGATTAGGGAAAAATTTTCATCCTGTTGCTATTGAAAAAGCGTTTTGTCTACTGTTTTTATCCCATGATCTCAGCCACAATTTATGTGTCAACTTGGTCCTAGGGAAGAAATTTTATCCATTTTCCCATCTCAGGTGACATGAAAGAAAATGTTGACTCCTTATACTTTCACCACTCTCTCTCTGTCCTTCTATTTCAAGGGCCTGCAGCCTGGTTTTTGCCCCACCATCCCATGGCAACTGGCCTTTAAGGTCAACAGTGCTTCTCCCCAGCCTACCTGCTCCTCATCTGGCCGGTGGTCCACTTGGTTTGGGCTCGACAGAACATCTTCTGCCTCTTGGAACTATAAGCCTTAGGGTCATTCCTTTTTCCATCCCTTTAATTGAATTCTTTTCTCTACCTTGCTCTTAAAAACAAGATTTCTGTGGGATTTTCCACTCAGTCCTGTTTTCTTCCCGCTTAGCACTTTTTCTTTACCAAATGAATCATCTACTCCCACCAGTTTCATTCAGCTTCATTTATCACCCCTGGGAGGGTACCTCCTAAATCTCTTTCTCCCTGCTTAACCCATGTTTCCAAGCTTCGCCATTTCAACATATCTCAAACAGAACAGAATCTCTTCTTCACAAATTGTCCTTTTCCCATGTATACATTTATTAGACACATATCTGCTGAGGGGCTACTATTCACCAGGCACTGTTCTCTGGTCTATGCATGTAGCAATGAACAAAATGGGCAAGGCTCTTGCTCTCATAAAGCTTAATTTCTAATGGAGGGAGGCAGACCATGAGCAACAGACTGATGGTACGGTGGTAAGTACTTTGAAGAGAAGTAAAGTAGGACTCTGAAGATAGGGAATACTTTTTTATATAGGGCGGTCCGGATCTGATAAGGTAACATTTGATCAGACATCTGAAGCAGTAAATGTGTGGCCTCTACGGATATAATGAATAGGAACCAGTTGAGTATTTAAAAGGCTAAAAGCCCAGACTAAAGATGTGCTCAAAAAGATCATGACTCTGATTTAGTGTTACCGGGCGCATGGTCATGTATCAAGCATCACTGTGGGAACCAGATTGGGGAAAGATGCCTCGGCTTCTGGCCAGCCCACATTCTGAATCATTGGTTAATTAAATCATAAATGTAATCAATCTTACTCTACATATATGTGAGTGTGTATGTGCACGTGGGTGTGTATGTGCATGTGAGTGTGTAGTATTTTCATGCTAATCTGTAATCCATCTGAAATGCTACTGTTGGGATCTGAAGCACTGCAAAATATTTTCATTTTCTAACAATTACAACCAACGTTTATTTATTCTAGTGAAGTTGAAGCAACAAGAGCATTGACTTTCTGTGAATTATCTAGATTCAATTTTTCTCCTCTTTTGGTCTCTTCCATGGGTGCTCTCTGGAATTTTTGTTTTTTGCTTTTTTTTTTTTTGAGACAGAGTCTCGCTTTGTTTTCCAGGCTAGAGTGAGTGCAGTGGCATCAGCCTAGTTCACAGCAACCTCAATCTCCTGGGCTCAAGCAGTCCTACTGCCTCAGCCTCCCCAGTATCTGGGACTACAGGCTTGCGCCATCATGCCCAGCTAATTTTTTCTATATATATTAGTTGGACAATTAATTTCTTTCTATTTATAGTAGAGACAGGGTCTTGCTCTTGCTCAGGCTGGTTTCGAACTCCTGACCTCGAGCAATCTGCCTGCCTCAGCTGGAATTTTTGTTTTTTTGTTTTTAACTCAGATTTGCCTCAGAAGGAGAATTAAAAAGGGATAACAACTTTTCAGAATGCTGTTAGTTGAATCCATTGGGGAAAAAGTTGCTAGATCTGTCTATAAAGTATTGATATTATTTTTCTATAATCAAAGCAATAAACCATTAAGAATATTTGGTTTTGGGGGACTTTTGAGTTGAAAAAACATTATTTTCTTTAAGTTAACATATTTATTAATGGAGATTACTAGGAAAGTTTTAAATGAAGGCAGACTTGATGTTTTTACTTGGTAAGGCTTCTAAAATCTCCAGAATGACACTTGGAAGTCTCCTTGGTATTTCTTCATAAAATATGTCTTTGCATGTTCCTTGTTGGCTAGGTTATTTTCTGGACTGCAGCTGTGAGAAAATAAATGGTTAAGTCACTTGCTCTTGCTAAACAATATTTTTGCCTCTTGACTCTGAGAAAGTCCCTGGGCAGCTTAATCTGCAAACCCACTGCTGGTACTTTGGGAGCCTTCTGCAGGCCACAGGGCTCCCAATTGCACGAAGCCTCCTGACCTGAGTTCCAAAGGGATTTTTGAGACTCAGAGAGCTGCCATAGCACACCAGGATGAGTGAGAGGACTTTTAAAAGGTCCTCATCCCACTAGAGGCCTCTGAGGGACCAGAGAAGTCACCTGAGGTTGAAGGGAGTCCAGGACATGCGCCCGGTGTCTAGATTCATGGCTGGAGTGAGTGAAGATGGCTAGTAGGGCATTGCTGCATGCGAACGTGGGTGTAGGGGTGGGTGAGAGAATGAGCTACAAAAACTAGAAGAGCAAGGCTGCTTTAGAAGGTGGGCTGGGGAAGGCACAGGACCCAGCAGCTCACAGAGTCAGGCTATCCAAGGGCAGCTGAGAGATCTGGCGAGCGTTTGGGCCTCAGGAAGAAAGTTGGGGCTTGTCAGCATCACTGCAGACCCAAGTGGAGGGAGTCGGTCAGCGTGAAGCCTGGGTCCTGGGTTGCAGGCAGACAGCACGGGGCAGGGGCTGCACAAGACCCACCTTATGTGAAATCACATAATGCCCTTTATTCTTATGAATATGTGGAGAGAGGAAGAAGGTGGGTGTGTTGGAGGATGCAGAAGCCGGATCATAGCCACCACTCTCCTAGTAAAATTAGAAAAAGCCTTGGTCACTTTATACAACCAAAGTCTGTGATTTCTTTCTGTTGTGGCTGAAGAAATCAGGGGATCCATATAGTTTATTATTTTATCTTTCCAAATAGAGTACAAAAAGTGCATTGAAAGTGTTTTAAGGCCGGGCGTGGTGGCTCACGCCTATAATCCTAGCACTTTGGGAGGCCGAGGCGGGCGGATTGCTCAAGGTCAGGAGTTCGAAACCAGCCTGAGCAAGACCCCGTCTCTACCAAAAATAGAAATAAATTAATTGACCAACTAAAATATATATATACAAAAAATTAGCCGGGCATGGTGGCGCATGCCTGTAGTCCCAGCTACTCGGGAGGCTGAGGCAGTAGGATCGCTGAGCCCCGGAGATTGAGGTTGCTGTGAGCCAGGCTGAAGCCACGGCACTCACTCTAGCCTGGGCAACAGAGTGAGACTCTGTCTCAAAAAAAAAAAAAAAAGAAAATGTTTTAAAACTGACGAATGAAAATGCCTCGGTCAAGTAAGTAACACTGGTTGGAAAAAGAAAGTACTACTTAAAAGAGTAAAATGTCCATATTCCACTGAGTGATTTTCATTTCATGTTTATAATTGCTGAACAAATATCTACTGCTACCTCTCATAGGGAGGACATTATTTAAACTTAAAAATGGACAATGCCTTGGAGAACTATTATCTGTTCCCAGCACAATGAACAGAGAAGGATTCCTTTAAAATACGTCAGATCAAACTCTCTCTGCTCGAATCCCACCAGCCTCACTCTCAATGTCCTGTTTTCTCTGCCTGGACCACTCTTCCCTGTGATCTTCAGGTTCGTGCCCCCACATCCTTCAGGAAGTCCACCCTGGCCATCCTTTTTAAAACCATGAGGCCACCCCAGCATGCACAAAAGCCATTCCCTTCTGTCTCTCCCATCCTTCATCTACTATTTCACTCTGCAATATACTTGCCAGTTTTATTTATTGTCTGTCTTACTCCACTA